TATGGCAAGAGCATGAATAAAGCATCTACTGTGTGCCAGATACTATATGGCATTTCTCTCAGTAGTCACAAGGATTCCATTAGTTGGTATCATTATTTCCATTTTCCACCTGAGGCTCGGGAACACAGCTTATCCGAATACATCACTTCCCCACCCCCACAGCCGTAGCTGAGTGGCACAGCTGCCTCCCCCATGACAAGTCCATGCCATGACCAGTTGGCAGGAAATTAAGGGAGCCCATGAGGTGTGCTCAATGTTGTCCAGAAGTTAGTGGCAGGGAAAGGTTTCTACAGTTGAGTGACCATCTACAGAACCCAGTCAACCAGGAGAAGACAATGAGCCACTTAATAACCATAAAGTGCCATTTATCGATATCTCAAAATAATAGCAAGAAGCAGGCTCCCTGGAGAGGGAGCTTGCATCATAAAGAACCCAAGCTATACAATGAAGTCTCCTTCACCTAACAACAATGGGCAGACCTGTCACCATGCCTATTTGCACTTTCCAAGGCTTGACCTTTCAGGACTGAGAATGAATGGTCCTGACTGTCAATATGCTTTCAAAATGTTCTTGTATCTAAATATGTCGACACTGAATCACTGTCTTATTTCTAAACATAAACATGTAAATGCTCTAAATAATTGTCTAATAAATAAGAGTACAAAGAAGGCAGATCCGAAGAAAGGAAACATCCATTGTGATAAAAGTTTTGTTATAGCTTTTCATGAAATAAATGCTTCCCTGACCAGAGCAGGGCCCCCAGTGCACACAGGTAAAGCAAACGATGTCACACCCTCCAGCATCCTATGCTTTGACAAGCCACTGAGATGACAAGATGGGCCATATAAGCAGAGAACCAGAACTAGAGGAGACAACAGCTAGTGCTGTTTGTATGCTGATGTTGAATGTATATGATCCTGTTCACCATTCCATAGCCCCCTTTCCTCTCATGAACACCAGGGTGTAGATTTTAGAGACGTTGCCATAATTCTTTCTGGGATTCTCTTTTCTTTGACTTTTCACTCTATGACTTTTGGCTCTTTCCTCCTCTTCACTACTTCATCAACTGAGAGAGAAGTGTCTGTAGATCCATCTGCTTGGGATGAACAGGTAATGAAGAGTACAACATTTCGGTAGCATGAGACATTTCAGGAGCAACAGATGCACCTACTGAAGGGAACACGGGGGTCCATAGGCACAGAGAAGACCTCCAGGTATCTGGGATGATCTGGGAGTCAGGAGAGGAGAGTGGGTCTACTAGATAACAGAGATGCTGACTCGGGAGTCCCACAGGCTCTCCATGGAGCCAGCTGGATAAAGTTACCAAGGAATGAAGTGTATGAGGATCTTTGAATTACTGGGAAATATAAAGAATTCTGGTCAGAAAGGGATAGATGTAAGTATTCAATTCAATTTAAACTATTGATTGGAGAATATAGGTTTATACTTATTAAGCTTTGACCTGTGACTTTTTCTGAGTCATGAAAAACACTCACTGAAAGAGTTTTGTCCTGAACAGGAGTGGATTCCCAGGGGTTTATGAGGATCACATATGGGAAAAGAAGCAGCTAATTGAGTGCCTGTGATAGCAAGAGGCTCACCTCAGTTTTCCTTGAGTTCAGCCAATATGAAGGAAGATTCAAATAACAATCAATTATCATCCAGGAGATAAGTCTTGTGCTAAAATTTCTCTCCATATAATCAAATGCACAATAACAAAGTCTCAGGAAACAGTGGCGACCGGTATTATTATAATAGTATTACCCCAAAATCCCCTTACAGTTGTTAAGCCCAACAGGCAACCTTTAAACTAAAAGCACTTAATTATATTGAAAAAAGCCATGAACTGACTCCATTTAAGCCAGAGATTTTCAAGAGCAATGACGATAGCTGTCCTTGATTGAGGGTCTTCTGTGTTCCATGAACTACATTAGACAGTCTAGACATAATTTCCCCATTAGCTCACAGTAACCCAGGGGGATGGGCATTGTTTTACCAGTAGCTGGTTTGGTGTTGCCTCAATCTACAGTGTGCTAAGGATAGGTTTTATAACGGTAGTTATAGCCTGGGAACATGGGGACTTGCCAGGTCCTCCTGGTTGTGTCCAGCAAATGAGCATCTATTAAGTGACTGAATGATGGGATGCTTGTTGACCATTTATGGGCTAAAGGCTAAGAGGAATACAGAAGAAGAGATTCATGTCTTATAGGAATATTAGGACATCTGTGCATAAAGAACCAATCCAGGTTGAAGTAAAAAAAAGAAAACACACAACAAAACAAAAAACAACAACAAATAAACAAACAAACAAAAAACAAACCCTGCCATACATTTTCATATATTTGAAATAAAGCTGTAGTAGGAATTCAATAAATGATGATTATTAAATAAATGAATTAAATCAAACAATCAACTAACCAAATGCTAGATTGTGTGGTACTGACTGTAAGAACCACAGTAGTCTAGAGAAGAAAAGCTCATTCTGAACGTGGGTGGTAGATTTCCTGAATGAGATGAGATCTGAGAAGGATCTGACCGACTGCTTTTTTTACTCTGAAAAAGGATCCAGTACCATACACGATTCTGTTTCAAAGACCTGCCCCATTTATCTCATTTCTCAGGAACAATATGCAACCCGGGGAGCTATGCCCAGCAGCAGCTCTGCTTTTTGGAAACACAGCTTGCTTTGGGAGTGGAAAAAGTTACCTCTCTTTTTCCAGGTGGAGAGACAGCTACTGTTTTGTTACTGCTCTCGAGCCAGCTGTCACCCTGCTATCTCACCAAAAGACAGCTGTTAAACTCTGTCAGTATGCAATGCCTTGCATTTCCAAATTGGTGTTCCAACCCTTCAAGTTCAGGGGAAGCTCACAGGAGATCCCGAGAAAGAAGGAGAATCCAGTAAGAACATTGAACTAGTGTGTGTGGGGGGGAAGAGGAAGGTAGAGGGAGGTATTAGGTAGAAGTCCAAATTCTGCAATTCTTCAGTGGGAAATTCTGGCTTGAGATTCTGGTGCTAATATTTTTTTCTTAAATATGTTTTTATTATTTTAGAGAAAGAGAGAAAGGGAAAATCAGAAGAGATAGAAGCATTGATCAGAAAGAAACATCTATCTGCTGGCTCCTGCACGTCCCCTACTGGGGATCAAGCCTGCAACCTCAACATGTACTCTGACTTTGAATTGAACTTGTGACTTGGTGCACAGGTCAGCGCTCAACCACTGAGCCACACCAGGCAGGCTCTGGTGCTAGTCTTTAATAAAAGACTTTCTTATGTGGGCTAAAAGTTTTTTCCCCCCCTTTGGGACTTAAAAAACATGGGTCTATGAATCCAAAATTTTGATGGCAAAAGTCTTGCCTTTTTTTACATAATATTTTTTTACAATATACCCAATCACAGGAACAGGTCAATAATGTTGGAAAAAGCTATATGGATCAGAAGGAAATACTTTTGGTTACCAAGGTAACTTTGATTATACAGCTCGCCAATTTCACTTCCTGTCTGGGATATTATTTCCTGGTAAAGTGGGGAAATGTCCCAGCCCTGACAGGGCAGCTTTCCCTGAAGTTAGAAGATTGCCCACATGAAAGCTGTGCGCATGTGCCCACCCTCCACAGAAGCAGCAGCAGGTTCAGGACCTGGCACCAGGCAGCCGAGTGGCACTGCTCCCAGAACATTCACCCACTAAGGAGCCATTGAGGGTCTGGACCCTTCAATGTCCAGGACAAATGACTAAAATGAAAAGCACAATGCATGTGAGTGGGACCAGAAACTTGAATGGAGTCATAATCACTTCCTTAGTATAGATGGCATTAATTTTTTTTTATGTAACTTCATTCTGTAATTCAGTCCATGCCTAGTGTAATAGTATAGAGTTCCATTTATCTGTTGATAAGTGAGAATGATTACTATGATGGCTATTAAGTATCTGGTTACTAGCATTGGTGGGGAAGAGAAATGGAAAATTGTTAGAGGGGGTGGGGGGTGGGAAGGGACCACCAATCATCAGGAAGAGACAAGACATCTGAAAAGAGAGAGATGTGCTGATCTCTACCCGTAATCAATATAGACTGTTAGATCAGTTATTGGAAAATTTGAGATAGTATGTAATGGTGTAAGAAAGGAAATCCAAATCATCCCAGGGCTTTAAAATGCCTATGATTTCTATGTAAGAATGAGGCCTGAGGCATGAAGGAGGGCCATGGATCATGGGCAAAGGTCCAGATTAAGGCATCTACACTGTAGCTGACACCCAATTGTTAAGTTTCAGGTCCCACAGACTGGAGATCTAGTGCTTAGGGCCAAATACTGAAGGCCTGGGAGGAGGTAGGGTGCTAGTTCAGGCTGAGCCATGATTTCCATCTGGTGACCTGACATGACTTTTTACAATACAGCCAACTTCACTACAAAAAAAAAAAAAAGTGCTCTCAGTTGAGCTCTCTCCAATGAATAAATAGGAGGGGACAGTTGAATTAGATACCAAAGACCAATGAAAAAACTCCCTTTCAGCTAGTCCAATTTACTGCATTCCATCTGCCTCAGTTTTAGGACCAGGATTTTAAATCTCTGAGCCAGTTATATTTTCAACTACTCAGTTTTGACCAACAATATAGTCTGTGTCAAATAAGCTTCTTTCCTCATGATCTGGAGCTTGGAATTGGTTACCATTTTCCCAACAGTGTAACTTGAACTACTGGTCAACAGACATATGTCTACACTTGAATCACTTTAATAAAAACATCCCCCATATCTACCAAAAAATGCAACTATTTCAACAAAAAGGCCATTTAATTCAATGCCCAGTTTTTGTTTTTCATTCATCATATTTGACCAGTGAGGTTCCACCTCAGTGAGTAGTCAACAATGCCAATAGATTGTTTTAAATGTCTGTCAGTGGTTTCCTTCCACTGATGATTATGCCTTTGTAGCAGGTATCTTGCATCTGGTTGGGAATAGATATTTCAGTAACCCAGAATTAAATTCTCACATGTTACCAACTCACCAGAATTAAGCAAAATGATGGATTTGAGGCACACAAACTCCTCTCCCTGGAGATTCATCATACGAAACCGAGATGATGTAGCCAGCAACATGTCAAAGATCTCCACCATGCCCTCTACACATTTTCCCTGGTTCCTATGAAAACACAGAAAAAAAAGTATTAAACATAGAAGTTCCAGAAGGTATGATAAGGTTCACATTCACAAATATCTACTGGGTCCAAATCTGTATCAAAAAACTGTAGCCATTCTGTTTATTAAGCATGAACATTCATTTGAATTCTAGAAAGCAAGGCAAAAAGATTTCCCATGAATAAACCATTTTTTTCATTTCAAATATTCATTCCCCAAATATGCATGTTAAGTATAGCATTCTTTAACCTATGGGTAATCAAAAATTATTAAGATTGAGGTAAATAATTTTTCTAGTAAATATTTTTTTATCTTTTCCTATATTCTAGATATTGTGGTAGTTATGGGAATAAAAACAGGGCCTCCACCCCAGCCAGTAGATCATGATTCAATTCTGGTAAAGGCACATGCCCAAGCTATGGGCTCGATCCCCAGTGAGAGGCATGCAGGAGGCAGCCAATCAATGATTCTCTCTCATCATGGATGTTTCTATCTCTCTCCCTCTCCCTTCTTCTGTGAAATCAATAATTAAAAAACAAAAACAAAAAACAGGGCCTCCAGTTTCAATATGTTCATGGCCTTGAAATAACACAATCAAATATAACAGAGTGGTATAGAGTGCTTTTGAAGTAGAAAAAAACTCTAAAAACTATGGGCTGTAGATGAACTGGAACTATTGAAGTTGTTGAGAATGACAACTGAGTATTTGTTTAATAGGTGGCATTGAGTTAACACTTTAAGAGAATGTAGAATTTCACTGAAAACATCCCTACAAGAAGGTCCTAAATGTGGAAAGGAGGAACAAATGAAAGAATATAGAGCAGTGTGTTAATCTAATAAAGATATAGATTAATGTGAGAAAGAAGGAAATGGTCAGGTGACAAAGAAGGTCCTACATCATTATAGGAAGTTTAGGCTTTTCCCTATGAACAGAGCATTGGCATCAAGAATTTAACACTCATAATACATCATGTGCCATATTTAAAAAATAAATTACTATCTTAGTATCATTTGTATACAGATGTTGCAGAAATTAAATGAAATGATAAATGTGAAAGGAACTCATTCATATTTTTGTTCATAGGCTCAATTTGGAACATGTTGTAATCAGAAAGGACAGGAAGAAGTTAAAATAGTCTATGCATATGCAAAGATATATTTGTGACATATATACAAATTTAAAACATAAACACTAAACACATGCCCAGTATCTTTTTTGTTTTGTTTTCAATTAATAAACCTTGAGGTTCTTCATCAACTGTTTTTAAAAACTGCATAGTTTTTCACTGAAATAATAATAAAAAAAAAACTTGTGATTTCTTTAACCACTTTTTTTATTGGCAGATATTTAGTATGATTTCAAGTATTTTGCCATTACAAACAGCTCCTGCAATAATTACCCTCGTGCTTATGTCTTTGGGCACATCTATGGATAGTTATAGAATAAATTCCTAGAAGTAGAATCACTATATCATAGGACTTATATATTTTTAAAACTTTGATAATTAGTTCAAAAGTTGCTTCCAAAGAGCTTGTACCAATAGGCTGTTGGTAGGAGAATATATTGGTATAAGCTCTTTCTCTGAGAGGTCTCCTCTTTCTCTTGGATGCTAGTCATGTTCACATTAATTTTTTTAAAATATATTTTATTAATTTTTTACAGAGAGGAAGGAAGAGGGATAGAGAGTTAGAAACATCAATGAAAAAGAAACTCTTATCAGCTGCTTCCTGCACACCCCCTACTGGGGATGCGCCCACAACCAAGGTACATACCCTTGACCAGAATTGAACCTGGGACCCCTCAATCTGCAGACTGACTTCTATTCATTAAGCCAAACCAGTCAGAACCATATTGATTCTTAAGAGCTCTTTATATATTGTACTAATTATCAGTTTGTCCTAAGTGCTCTCAATGCTTTTCTAATGGTTTGTCATGTTTCTTTTGACTTGGTTTCTGGTATTTTCTGCAAAACATTTAATCATTATATAAACATATTTATCAAATTGTTCATTTATGGCTTTAGAATAGTATGTCTTGTTTAAAAAATTCACTCTCCTTTCCAATACATAAAAAAAAAATATTTCTATCGTATGTTTCTTTCACGTATAGTTCTTATATTATTTTGTTTAAATCTTTGCTCTTCTGGATTTTATTTTTTATAAACACTTTATTAAGATATCATTACTTATCATAGAATCCATTACTTATCATAGATTTCATTTAAGTCCATTTACCATACAATAGATTTTAGTAAATTATAGTTATGCATCTCTTTCTTGATGCAAGATGTGAGACAGGGATTCAACTTACTATTTTCCCAGGCAGCTGATTAGTTTTCTTAACACCTTTATGGAATAAACCATCTTTAACACACTGACTTGAAATATGCCAGTACTTTTAATAAATTAATTTACTTCTTACATCTGCCCCTAAGGTTGGTATTATTATTCCCATTTTATAAATAAGGGAATTTGGCCTCAGAACTGTTAAGTCAAACCACACCTTTAAACCAGAAGAAAGAATTCCAACAATAAGATTTTCTTTGAATTCTTGTCTTGCTTCACTTTAAGTCACTCAAAAAGACTGATAGAGAGCCCAATACATACCAAGCTTTGAGCTAGGCATTCAGCACAGAGAAGAAAGGCACAGGCCTCATTAATACGGAGACCCAGAACAGGACAAAATAGACAAGGAGAAAGGTGCAACACAACGGGATGCATTCCCCAGAAAAGGCCTAGAAAATCGCTTACAAATAATGCCCATCTCCCCAAGTGTAACCCACACCAACATGGAAGCAACGGTTACAATATTCTTAGATAAAGGTAAAGAAGGTTTCATGGAAAGTGCTTAGAATGGTATGTGGCTCACAGCAGAGTCCATATTTAACTATCAGTTATGGATTGATAAATCGATCCATAGATATCAAGGGAGAAGTTGGCCTTTTTACCTGAAGCACCCAGAAAGCAATTGCTGGGGTAGATTTTGCTTTGCCGGTGGAAATCCAGTTGTATGAAAGTTCTACATCTACATCGGCAGAGGAACACCTCAAATGCTACATTCCACAAGAGGAGGGTGATAAGGTGGTAACACCCAGGGGTGAGTTGGCCTTAACCAGACAGAGAACACTAGAAGTGAGTTTTTTTCTTGTCCTGTAGTTGAATTTTTTATTTATTTATTTTTTTTAAGAAGCACATTTTCTTTCTAGTGAAAAAATAAACAAGGATGGGGGAAAGGTTTGGAAGATGAAGCTTTAAAAATAACAGCTCTTAGCCAAAATAGAGAAATGTTCCTTTCTCAGTATAAAGCCTCTGTTTACTTCACAGACTGCACATCGGCAGGGGAGCAGCTCTCAGGGTGGGAGGGAGCCTGTGCTCACCTGCTGTGAGCAAAAGTTCAGCTCCTCTGCAGAGAGTGGAGTCTTCGCTGTGCTCTGTTCTCTGGTCCCTTTTCAATAGTCTCCCACACGTGCTCCTGAGAAGCTTGTTCTTAACCCTTTCAGCAGGAGTGCATTCTTCTCAGCCTCTTCCCATGGCGTAGCCTGTTCATTCTCACCAATCATACCTGTCCACACACAATGCTTGCTCTTCAGCTCAAAGTGGGAGCCACAGACTGTGCCCTCAGGTGTGCAGCCTCATGTTCGCTGCTGGGAGTCTCCAGGTTGAGGGTGCCTGGGAGAATATTCCACTGAGGTCGCATTTTCTAAGGGTGCTCTCCACATCTACAAGAACTTTATGCCGATGTCTCCATCAGACTAAATCCATTCTTCTTTCCACGGGAAAAAACTCCCTGGGTCTAAACACTTCAGCCCATCCACTGTTTGTGTAATAAGTAAGTGCTAGGTTCTGTGTTGACCCTGATGATCTTTTTGGTAAATCCCTAGATGCTGCCTACATGGACATGACTGACTGATGACATGGTATCTAAAGGTCCCTCATTAGCAACGTCACAGGTGAAAGAGCTTGTTTGCCATGGAGCCAGTGAGCAGGTGACTGGGCACCCATGTGGACCTTGCTGGGTGTTCAGACATGTGACACCTGACCAATACAGAGGAACCCTTTTCTATCTGTCCACTAAGGTCATCATACTTTGGGGTCTGAGCTACCTTGTCAAAGTGCTGCCAAAATATGTTTCCTAACCTCAGGGAGCCATTCCGACCAGAGCATTCACTCAATTTCAGATGGAACAGATGAATCAACAGCATCAGACATGGGCTGACTACTGAGAATTTGGTGATAACATTACTAAGTAATGTTAAAATTGGTCTAAATCCATGAAGTGCTCCTGAGGCTGAGAAACACATGGGGTATGGAAGAACAAGATTTATTTTTGAAGAAAGAACAGCTTTAGTCATAGATCAGAAGTGGTTTAACAAGCAACCCAGCCCTGGACTCCAACTGTGAGACGTGACAACCTGCAAGGCTGAAGCCCTCCACCAATTACATCTGGAGTCTGCAGCATCTTAGAATCCCCTAGTGGGGAAACCTTGTTCTTCTCCTTGTCCTCTTCAAATGCAGTCCATTTGCAATTAAGCAAGGGGGGCAGGGTGGGGGCTGGCAGGATTTGCAAGAGCATTTGTTTATGCAATATCCTGAAAGTTTCTCCTCTATAGAAATCAAAGCCTGCTTATCTGAAGCCCTCGGGTCCCTATGCCTCCACCTGGGAAATAAAGAGCTCTCATGAGGGTATGCAGATCAAACCTGCCCTTATACAGCCTCAAAAATAATCTCACAAAATGTAAAGCTACTTGTAGCCTCTCTTTATGGACATAAACAAATGAACAAACAAACAGAAAGCCCAGGAGATGGACATTGAACTTGGCTGTCCTGAGAAAAGTACATTATGTTTAGGGGAAAAAAGTTTATAAATTAAGATGGTGTTTAAAATCAACAGTGGCATGGTTAGTTGTATTTAAAGAGCTTTAGTTGTATTTCAAGAGCAAATATTTTGGTGGCTACAAAACCTCTCAGCACACACTCTGCAATGCTGTGAATCCATAAATAGTT